TGCTTATTCGCGGATCTTTGTTAATTAAAATCTCAGTAACTATTGCGAATCTAGCAAAATAGTATAGGACTTTTCACCTCAGTTTTATTCCTTCTATCTGCCTACGAGAGATGTTAAACCAATTCTGGGACACCCTGTATATATATATATATGTATGTATGTATCAAAATACATATCCGCGGTTAACCAATAAGATTTCAATGTTAAAAGTAAATAAATTCGTCAACCAATGGTAAGACAAATTCAATTGCTGCGTTCAAGCAGAGCTGTTTTGTAGAAATCGAACATAATTAGCTCTTACTTTTAGAACCAACGTGTCTTAACAAGACAACTCAATAATTGTTCTGCTGAATACGACCAATAGTACACTCTAATCATGATACTATTTTTTGTGTGTAGTATAAAGATATAACATTTATGTGAATGCACAGTAGTTAACTCTTTAAACCAATCAGGCTTAAGTCCAAATGCTTATTACTATACAGGCATTTAATATACAAGGTGTTTAAGACATTTTGACAAAGCTAAAGTATAAAGATAGATTGGATAAATCTGAACTGAAAAGTCGTTTATCATTTTGCAAAATTTGCAATATGTATTGAGTTATTAAGTATTGAATGTGAGCCAATGAGCGCAAGTTCGTGAGCGTGTATGATTTTCAGCTGTAAAAAAATAACTTATCTTATGCAATCTTCTAGTACCAAAAGACAAAGCAATCAAGTAAGCGGCACAATTTCTTACAATCAGCTGCTTACATTAGCTTTTTGATTGATTAATAATTCAATAAATATTGTAAATTTTGCAAAATGACTTATTGGTTCAAAATAACCTAATTTACTTTGTATAATTGTTTCTTATTTGATACAGAAAATATTTTGTAAATGAAATATATATTGTTATTAACATAACATATATATTAAAACGTTAAAAATTTTATATAATTCAATATTTACAATTTACATAAAAATAATATTTACAATTTATATAAAAATAATAAGTTTTTATTATGTGAGCATCGCGACGACGAATACCACAGCTAAGATCTATACCATACTCCGCTTTTCCTTGCACTTATTCTTTTTTCTTTTTCAAAAATAATGTTTTAAATATACAGAGTATCTGCAAAAATTTACAAACGAAGTGAAGATAGATTGAGTTAATCTGAACAAAAAAGTCACTTGTCAGTTTGCAAATTTTGCAATATGTATTGAGTAATTAAGCAATAAATGTAAGCCAATGAGTGTGTGAGAATTTGGACTCTGTAGACGTGTGTGATTTTCAGTTGTATCGCCTTAAAAATCAGCTGATCGCAAAAAACTATATCATTCGCCGTTTGCACTTGTTTGCTCCACTTCTTGTTGCTAAGATATTGCATTAAAATATGTCATTTTTCTTTACATCTGAAAATCATACATGCCTACAGAATTCGGACTATCGCTTCCTACACACTCATTGACTTTATTAATTAATAATTCAATAAATATTGCAACTTTACAAAATAGTAAATGACTTTTCTGGCTTTGGGGACTTTTTTAGGTTGACCCAATTTATTTTCACACTGTGTCGAAAATTTTGCAGACATTCTGTATATGTAATGTTATGTATGTATATGTGTATACACATACAGACACGCATAGATATATGTATACATATTCATATAAGTGTATGCGCGCATGTGTAAATATACTATATATGTAAATATGTAAGTATGTGTGCGTTTACATTTGCAAATGTTTGAACTATTGACCGTCTAAATTACTTGATAGTAAAAACTACTTTTTTCATTATTTCAGATATAATGAATGCCACTTTACAGTAGATTTAGTATGTAAATTGACTTGATTATAAATGTAGAAGTTTATATTATTAAAATAATAAAGATTTGGTGAGAACAAATTATATAGTTTTGTTACAAAAAATATGTGATATAAAAACTAGTGTTTGATAATATAAAAACTGCTATTTATTAAATCAAACAAGAACCATTGGAATCTTTCTTCTCCTTGCTTCTGAATATCGTCTACCAGATATACAAGAGTTGCAATCAATGAAGCTACGATTCACTAAACAGTACCGTATCATCACTAAACTGACTAAGGCGTATTTTATCGCCCCTCTCTCTCTCTCTCTCTCTCTCTCTCTCTCTCTCTCTCTCTCTCTCTCTCTCTCTCTCTCTCTCTCTCTCTCTCATTTCTCTTTTTGATACATAAAATAGTTACACAATAGAAAAAATATAGCTCTAAGAAAAAAATTTACATATTTAATGAATAATTAACAATACATTTTTTATTTTACCTTAGCACAAAGCTTGCTTTTACAAAAACGATATTATTTTTTTGTACTGTATTATAATATATCTATGAAATTTCTTAACAAAAATACATCTTGTAATATGTTTTATAAAAATTTTTTCTTCTATAAACTATACTTATATACATACAAACATACAAATATATAAAAGAATACTCTTTATAAAAAGTTTATTACATTATATAGTCATTTTTAAATTAAAATATTTTTTAATTTTATGTTCTTCATTTTTTTTTGTTTGAATTTTTGTGTGTTATTTATATATTTACAGCATAAATATTTAAATTATATTACTTGCATTATTTTTGGTTTAAAAACAAGTTACATTATCAACTGCTAATTGTTATAAGTTACTTAAGATAAATAATTACGTAAATTGATTGAAAAAAGTTATATATTAATAGCACACATAATACAAGCTTATGTAACAATAATTACGTGATGCTACAATTACTATGTCCGTCAAAGTGTTCTGTGTACTATAATAGAATATTTGATGAATGCAATCATCATTCGCTTTGAATATAATTGCAATTATAATTATATGTTATTATAATAATTAGTATATAGAAAATTTTAACTTTTTTGCATGATGAGAATAATTAAGTGTTCTACTTTAAATGTATATAATATTTTGATTATATACTTTAATATATGAAATATATGTGTGTGTGTGTGTGTGTGAAATGCAAAAGCTAGGTGTTAAGTTTCAGGTTTTATTTTTTGGCAATGATTGTATTGTTTATTTGCATTGTTGAATTTGTTGTGAGTAATTTGTTGATTGATTTACATTTACAAAATATGCAAGATTGCATAAAAAAGAACTATGGAATTAGAAAAGAGTGTTTTTAACATTTATTTGAATTTATATTCAGATGCGACACTAATTCAAAATAATCTTATTTATTTCACAACGTGAGTCAATTGTAATAAAAACAATGTCACAAATTACCAGTCAATTGCTATAGCTACGCCGTAATAATAATTTATCGACATCAATATTGAAGCAATCGAGAGACCATTAACCTTTGCACTCGACTTTTTACGTAGCTTTCTGAGAATGATTTAGTAGTCTTACAAGTGTGATAAAATATTGGTCAAGATACATGACATCATTTTTTAAATAGTATGTGTTGGTAATAAAATATCAGATTTACTTACAAATGTATTGTGACACTTTTTTCTCTTAAATATATAACAATATATTACATGGCTTAAAAAAATGCTTTGCTTCATACAAATAAGTAGACATTTCGTTTTTTTATTTATCTTTACTAAAAAGTTTCATAAGCATTAGGCTTTATTGTAAAAATACATTTTATTATATTAAATAAAATAAAGTACTCAGATATTAATTTAATATATTTTTTACAAGAACAGTACCTATTATGAAGATATCAATATGAGATAAACTGTGATATATACCGCTCAAAATATTAATAACAACTTTTTATCAATTAATGTAAGATAACATAAGATAAATAGAAAACAAGATTAATTAAAGAGTTAAAAAAATTAGCGATTAACAAAAACACTTCACAGATAATAACAACTTTTATTATTGAGTTCAATAATTTAATTTTTATGGCATAAATTTGTGTGTAATATATGAAAATTTTTTAGTCGTATATATTAAAAGTAATAAATCCATGACAATATATATGATATAAAAGTATTTAAGTAATATAAAGATACATATATAACTGCATAAAATATTATATATATTGAAATATATTATTCCTATTTAAGAAACTAAAGAAACTATGAAACCAAAAAATGTATACATTTTATATATATTTAAGTATTTACACACACATACACGTACGTATATGCATATATAAGTTGAAAAGAAAAACGTTTGATTCGTTTAATTTTTCAAATTTTTTTAATAGCTAGAAATAACTGTAATCTCCGAAAGTGAAATTAGCAATTAATTATGTAGTATGTTATTAGCAATTAAATATGTAGTGTGTCTATTTTTTAAACATATATTTTGTATGTATGAGACAAAATCTCTAAAGTCAATTCTAATTTGACTAAGATTTAAGGATAAACATGAGCGGCCAGAAGAACTGGTTATTCCTACTTGTTTGACCGTGAGGCTCTTGGGGACAAAAGTGATAAAACTTAAGTGGCGCAGGCTAAGGTCGTTACCATCATATGTGCGTTGATACTATTCTCCGACATCCTACAACTGTCAGTAGACGATGATCATTCAGTGGCGTCGCATCGTTCTTCGATCGTGTATCTAAATCATTTTTTTTTCACCTCAACATAGATATGTGGAATCATGTGATTAATCTGATTCTTGTGGCAGCTTTATCTCGGCTAACCTTCTCTTTGCACTCAGACGCGGGTCCATGGATTCGATCTACAAAGGGCGAAGTCTGGCCAATGCCAAACTCACGTATGATTAAAGAAGACTTTTATTTACTACGACCATCCAACTTTGATTTTCGAGTAAGTATTTCTATTTTTATTTTGTTCTTTCTGTTACTATATTCAAATATTCTTTTACTTTCTTTTATTATTATATTCTTCTTCTATTATTATATTGTGTAATGAAATAATAAGACGTGTGCAAAAAGCGATAATGTTAAAACTGTCATTTCATTAAGTCTCGGAAGCAGAGAGTTCTACAGATGACACATAGATTATTCGCGACTTGTACACTGCTGATATATCTTTTATCACTTACACTAATATTTTTCTTTTATGTTTTTATAGAAACTATTTTTTTCTCTCTTCACTTTTTTATTTTATGTTGTTTTATTAAATATTTTCAAAATATTTAATAATACTTAATGATATGATGACTTAATGATGATTCTCTTTCTCATACAAGTGTTTTACTTTTCAAAAATATATATTGCTTTTAAATTTTACGTTATAAATATCTTCTTAATTTGTAAAGGTAAATGGCGAAACATGCGATATAGTGAACGAGGCGATTGAACGATACACGAGAATTATTTTGACGGAAGCTAGGATAGCTAGGTTGGTCACGGAAGGACAACCAAGAACATCCGTTCGAGAAGATCCTCACTTTAAAGGCACTCTTGAAGCTTTAAATATCCGCTTTTTGCAGCCTTGTGAACAAAATGGCGAGCATTGGCCTCATTTATACATGAATGAATCTTGTAAGTTTAACTGTCAAAAAGAATTCAGCTTTATATATATTTAAACTACTTATATTTAGATGTGAAATAATTATATTAAATATTATAAAATATTATAAAATATTTACAAATATTAACTAGTTTTTCATGCAATTTTACGCTTTACAAAATAATAGGGTAAACAGAATACACTAAGGTGTAAACGCGAAACGTCACGCTATTCACAAATTATTAAAATAATCAAAACTTATGCAATAATATGTAATATTATATATATTGTATAACAGCTACATTTTTAACTCTACAAAAAAGAATTTTATTCTTATAAGTCTTTAAATAAGAAAAGTTTTCTCCCATACAGCACACAAATATTGCATATACATTACAAGGATCTTTCATCGCAATGGTGCAATACTGCCATTTCACTATGAAATACTGATACATCATTGTTGTTGAATTGCAGCAACGTTCAAATGTCCGCTTTTAGGAAGAAACATCATAGCAATATTGCAATGTAACGAATATGCAATAATGCAGTGTTACTGCAATCATTAAGTAATATTGCATATAAGAAGTAATTTTATTTTTTATAGATTGCATTAAAAACACATGAAGATATACAAAAGAAAGAAAAGCTTTCCAAGAAAAAATAGAAAATCATGTAGGATGATCATATAGGATTATATGTGGATCGGATATAATTTTGTACGATCGTGTCAACTTTTATACAAGTCGAATATGATTTTATATAAGTTGGATATGATTTTATATGATCGTGTAAAATCAGATCCGAAATTTGGCGCGATCTGATTTTGTATGATCATATATAAATGTATAAAATAATGTATGGATAGAAAAAGTATATGATTTCTTATATTTATATATGATCATATAAAATCAGATCGCGCCAAATTTCGGATCTGAATTTACACGATCATATAAAATCATATCCAACTTATATAAAATCATATTCGACTTGTATAAAACTTTACACGATCGTACAAAATTATATCCGATCCACATATAATCCTATATGATCACATAATTTTCCATTTTTTCTCTATACAAACAAGAATGCGATAATTTTATATCTAAGATATATATTATAAAGCTATATATAACTGAATATTTTTTTAGATTAAAGTATTGTATTTGTGTTAAAAAAATATATAATAATGTGTGTCTATATGTATATATGTGTATATATATACAGTAAAACCTCGATATCTCGAACCTCTATAACTCGGAAACCTTTATAAGACGAAAATTTTGTTCATTTTCTTTCGCTCCGCGAAAAGAAAAAAAGACTTTGATAAGTCGAAACCTCTACAACTCAAAGATTTTAGCTCTTCCGTTGAGATTCGAGTTATCGAGATTCGACTGTATATATACAGGGTGTCCCAGAATTGGTTTAACATCTCTCGTAGACAGGTAGAAGGAATAAAACTGAGATGAAAAGTCCTATACCATTTTGCTAGATTCGCAATAGTTACTGAGATTTTAATTAACAAAGATCCGCGAATAAGCATGCATCGGGCTGTCCTACGCGCGTAAGCCGCGCGCTTGGTGTGTGTGAGTGCTCACTGACGTGTGCCTGGCTAAAGGTCTGCGCTGATTGGCCTGATTTACTCAATAATTACTCCTTTAGTATAAATAATAGAAAAAAATGGTTCAGGACTTTTCGACTCAGTTTTACTCCTTCTACCTGCCTACGAGCGATTGTACGGCAATTCTGGGACACCCTGTATATATATATATA